GGGGGGGGGGCGTGTCACACCTCTTTGTTCCAAGCGTTTTCGGTGCAGTGGTCACAGGTTGTGGATTAGCAGCAGCTCTGCAGGAGTGAACGGCGAGCAGGGAGCGCAGCATTCCAAAGAAACCGTCTTATCTGGCAAGATGCAGAGTGTTGAGGACCACAGGGGGTGGGGGGCTTACCAGACAGATGGGTGAGCAGCAGGAAGTGACCTTGTGGACAGAAAAGAAGAGGATTCCCAATCAGAGGGAGCAACTTTGGTTGCAGCTGCTCGGTTCAGCGGCACATTTAATTCGCACAATAGGTGACACAAATAACTGGTGACATGCAGGAATATTAAGGTGCTCTGTAAGCACCTTCACCACCGCTGAAAGCTGTGCCTGCCAGTCGCTTTTACGCACTCCCTGTCCTACTTTTCTTCCCCCCCACCCCACCACCACCCAAACACACACACACCACAAAGCTCACAACAGTAGTCGCCACTAAAACTGGAATATGCCCACAACCTTTTAGCCTCGCTCCTTTTCTCCCTGCTTGGATAAGCAGCAGTGTGGGGAGATTTGTTTAGACTGGAGCGCTCCCCGGCGCTGGCTGTTCGTGACTCCTGTTGTTTTTGAGTGCAGAGGAAACTGGTCTCGGCTTCCATTGTTTCACTTTAGATTGAGTCATCGACAGTAACCATGCAGTTTAAGTGAGCAGGATTTCTTAAGGACTAAAACACCAGAAGTACTCATTTTATATTTTATTTGAGCATGAAGAAGAAAAAGATGAGGAATAGTTTGACTTGTTGCAAATTTTAACCTAGAAATGGGGTTGTGCTGATATATATATTTATCTAAAGCATTCAAAATCACTTTACCTGCATGCATTTTTCCAAAATTATAATGGAGAACAAGATGATTTGTAGTTTCCATCTTTGGACTTATTGTAAAATGATCTTATTCAAACTATACAAACCTGATCTCTCTAGTTAGCCTAGCGAGGTCTGCAGGAGGTCGGCGGAAATCATCCGTCTCGTCTCTCTGAGCATCTTGGAACTGATTGCATAGAAGTTGGTTGTGAAGTAAAGAAAACTGGTCTGGAATATTATTTAAAGCACGACAACCAGAAATGATGGGTTTGAGGAATGCAGAGTGAAGGATCAGTGGTCAAGTACGGTCACGCTAAATGTAAGGGTAGATTTTCACAGCAGACACAAACTGAAGAGATGGAAAAAACAGCAGGAAATAAAATACTTTACTCATAAATTATAAAGTTAGAAGAGTATAGACCTTTAAAGGTGGAAAAAATACATTACCTAAAGTCTCATTTCTGCTGTTTAAACATAAAAAACTGTGTTTTAATGTTCCATCTGGTCAAGGTGAATCTACTTTACAATCTTTTATTTAACAGGTTGCAGTTTAATCTTTAGAGGGCATCAAGCTTTAGAGGCTGATCATATGGTTGGTAGATAACATCTTTTGGTGACAAATAAAGGAAAAACCCCAAGCCCTGACCCGTATTCTAGAGGGTTTTATGGCTGATATGTGGTGGGAAGCATTTTATCAGCATGGTTTGGGTCCATGTTGACTTAAAGACTTAAAGAAAAAACACATATACCAGTGCAGAGTTGTTCTTTTAAACAGGTTGGCTAACACTCGGCCCAGATACCACAAAATGTGGCAACCCTTCTGAATGACATCCATGTAATTGTGTGAAAAATATTAAATGTATTTTAGTTTGTTACTCAACAAGTTATTTTTAGCTGATAATTTACAAATAACTAACTTGGGAATAACCAAAAGATACAGAGCTTGTCTATTGGGTAAAAAAAAAAGTGAGGCTGTGAGATATTAAAGTGCGGCCAAAAAATTATTATTGTGTGTAGGAACAGAGAAACGAGGAAAACATGAAGGATGGCGGCCCTCAAGGACCTGTGTTTGACACCCCTGGTTTAAATTGAACCATGGCGTTACACTCTATGGAAGCGTACTCTGCAAAAAAATGTCCATCTAACCAAGTTTTAAAATAGCATATCCATCCAAAAAGTCTTTTTGATCTTGTTTTGAGACTGATTTACTAAACAAGAACTGATTGTGAAAGAAAAATAATCTTGTTTTCAGAATGTGTAAGATTATTTGTCTTGTTAGTCTGAAAATTTGACTCAAATTAAGTCAAAAAATGTCTGCCAATTGAGTAAGAAAATTTTACTTGGTAAGATTCTTGAAATACTTGATTTGACTCAGTTTTTTCTTATTTCAAGAATCTTACCAAGTAAAACTTTCTTACTCCATTGGCAGAAATTTTTGACTTAATTTGAGTCAAATTTTCAGGCTAACAAGACAAATAATCTTACACATTCTGAAAACAAGATTATTATTCTTTAAAAAATCAGTTCTTGTTTAGTAAATCAGTCTCAAAACAAGTTCAAAAAGACTTTTTGGCTGGATATAAGGTTTTAAAACTTGGTAAGATGGACAGTTTTTGCAGTGTGTCACATGATATAAAATTATTTTTTAAACTGGATCTTGTTATAACAAAAAAACTATCTCGTAAAAGCGAGAAAATATGTCGTTATAACGACAAAAATATCTCATTATAATGAGAAAACATCTTGTAAAAATGAGAAAACTGTCTCGTTATAACGTGTTATGGTTTTTTCTGGTTTGTCACTTTCATAGAAGTTTATTGCCTGGATAGCGTGATGGAGAACATGACTGAGCCACTATATGCCTTTTTACGAAGAAGAAATCTGCAAGAGGAACACATTTCTAGACTAAAAAAATGACGAAGTTACTGAATAATGTTTTTGAAATAGCGTCTGAATTCAGATTAGAGAGTGCATATTGCCAAAGAAGTGCTAATAGCTGCAACGTCTGGGCACGTGTTCTGTTTGTTTTTGTTTATATAGTGGTTCAGTCTTTTTCTCCATCACACCATCCAGGCAATAAACTTCAGTGAAAGTGACAAACCAGAAGAAACCATAACGCAGGAGATGATTATCTTGATATAACAAGATAGTTTTCTCATTTTTACAAGATAGTGTTCTTGCTTTTACAAGATATTTTTCTCATTTTTACGAGATAGTTTTCTTATTATAACAAGATATTTTTGTCGTTATAATGATATATTTTCTCATTTTTACGAGATAGTTTTCTCGTTATGATGAGATCCAGTTTAAAAATAATTTTATGTCATGTGACAGCGCTACGCTTCCGTAATACTCTTTGGATTAAACATATAATAAATAAATAAATAAATAAATATAATAATAACACTAAAAATAAGAATGAGGTACTTTTGAACAGTTAAAAACAAACATATATAATCTGACTCCACCAATGTCTGTATCTTTAACAAAGAGTTATGGCTGCTCAACATTCTGTCGTTGCCACAAATTCATTTTTTTATCTACCAGACAGGCTCATCAAGGATTTGATGAGTATGGGATTTTTATTTATTTATTTTTAATGCAGTATAAACAATCTGCACATATCACCCAATTAATTGTGCAGGAAACACAAGTTACAGTATGTTCTTGTGTTTTCTGTAAAACAACTAAACACAGATGGGTTTTGTTGTTGTTGCAAATAGTGGCTGTATATCTTACCAACTCTGGCAGTTTGTTCCTCTTGTTTGTGAGCAATCACTGCAGCTAAGGAAAAGTTTAAATTAGCAGAAAACTCCTGTACAACTACCTCAAAATACTGCGAGGAGATTTTCCTTGCTTTAATTATGCACAGAGGCACTTCTTACTCAGTTTGAAAGTGCCACATCCTGCAGGTGCAACTAAACTTCTACATGACAAAGATGTGTCTTTTTTTTCCCCCAGGACTCTCCAACTAACAAGCTGCTGTATGCCAAGGAAATCCCTGAGTACAAGAAAAGAGTCCAGTGCTACTACAAGCAGATCCAAGAAATGGCCCCTCTCAGTGAGCAGGAGATGAACGCTCACTTGGCCGAGGAGTCAAGAGTAAGTCAGAAGGTTTCTGTTTGTTTAATCAACCGGTTTGTTACATCTTCTTCTGGAACTTGACCTAATCTAAACCGTTTGATGTCTCCTTTCGTAGAAGTACAGAAACGAGTTCAACACCAACCTGGCCTTGACAGAAATCTACAAATATGCCAAGAGATACAGGAACCAGGTGAGAGATTTGTAACACTGCTCTGCTCTGTTTGTGATCTCAGATGTGGATTAGATATGCTTAAATGTTCAGACTAGTCCTCTGTTTTATTTTTTATTCAGTTTTTTTAGTCAATCCAACTTTCTGTGTAACATTTCACAGATGGCTAGCCGACCGTGACGTATCAGTGTGGCAGATCAGAGTTAAATGCATGCTCAGGATGTCTGTTTTTCTCTTGTTAAAGGCTCTTAAAAGGAAAACAGTCAGATTTGGGCTATCATCCAAGTCCCACAGACTCTTCTGTGTTCATTTATCTCTTTCCAGCCCACAGATACCTTTCAGTTTGAGCAAACGGTACCTTCTCCTGAGCCAACTTCTCCTGCTCAATGACACTGTTAAATTGTTGTTTCATATTTCCTCCTTTTAAAATTTTTTTTTCGCTTTGAACTCCGCAACCTCCTGCTGTCCTCCTTCATGCTTCCTCGGGGTTATGCCTATTTTCCAATGAGGTTTGCCCTAATGGAGCACCCTCACAGTAATGCCGTTTAGCTGCTTCCCCGTGTCATGATACTGTACTGACGTGGGCCAGGGGCTTAGACTGTGATTCACAGAGCTGTGTGAATGGCCCCTGATTGCCTATTCTCTCGCCCCGGCTCAGTTCTGCTCTGCCTGGTAGCACATTGCTGCTGAGAGCCCATAAATCCCACTGACACGGTGACAACTATTGGGCATGAAAAACAGAGCAGATGTGGGTTTTGTAAATATGTGAAGAGCAAAAAAGAAAAAAAAGAAAAAAGGAAATTCTTTTGTGGTGCTGACGCATGCAGAAGAGGCTGAAGCACTCCACTTCTTTCCCCCCACTTTCTGTTTCGTTCAGCGTTCTCTGTCCAGGCAGGTGGCNCACACACACACACACACACACACACACACACACACACACACACACACACACACACACACACACACACACACACACACACACACACACACTCTCCATCTATGTCAATAAAACGCCCGGCAGCCGCTGAAAGTCATCTTCTGCTTCCTGTTTTGTGCTCCTCGGTCAGGTGGTGAACGCTCTGGAGGCGAACCCCACCGCACGTCGCACTCAGCTGCACCACAAGTTCGATCAGGTCGTCGCACTCATGGAGGACAACATCTACGAGTGCTGCAGCGAAGCCTGAAACCCGAGGCCCACCCCTGCGTCCTGCTGCCTTCCTCCCGCCCTTCACGGTCACTCGGCGAACGCCACCGAGGAGGAACCGTCCTGGGGGGCCGTGTCTCTCCCACAGACTGTTACTTTAGCAAACAGCGGCAGAGTGAAAGGATTCGAAGCCGCCTCTAAATCATTTCCCACGACACAAACGGAGCCCCCGTCTGGCTCTGATACCACTTTAGAAGGAATACGTAGGACTTCAGACAGCAAGCCCTGGTGGCAATCTTTACACACTGAACCCCCCTCTCCCCGCCCTTTTTGTAAGGGAACGAGCCAATGATGCACTGCACTGTAATATAATGTCCATAGCAATATTTATAGATGTGTTCTAATGCTTTCAAGTGGCCTGTTCTTCAGGATTAGTCGGACCGTGACAGACTCCTCTGATCTCCTAAAGCCTGCAACGTTCTCAGGTCTGCTTGGTGAAGATGGGCGACAGACTACCCACTGGTGCTTTAAACGGTTTGTCCCAGCGTGCTTTGCAGGTTGATGACGGGTTGACGAGGAGCAGAGAGAAGACTATTATATAAAAAGACAGACTGAAAATTATTAAATGAAATGTTTTAATGTAGTTCACTGGGAAGAGCTGCATCAGTATACAAATGTTTAATCAGTGTGCTTGTGAACGGAAAAAGTATCACGGTGGTTTCTGATGAATTTAAAGAGGGAAATTTACATTTAAGTAAATGCTGAGCTCTATATAATCCGAGGTGAGAGTGTATTTGTGATGCCAAAATGATTTGTTTGTGAAATAAACTGCAGGAGGATAAGCATTTTGAAGTGTCTTGGTTTGAGCTGATTATTTCTCAGCATTTCTTTAAAGTCCAAATAAAACATTTCATTATAACAGTGTCAGTCAGACTGACCTAATGTCGCCCACATATAAAAACAATGTCCTTTTTACGTCTCAGATAGAATAAAGACATTTGCAACTTGCAGTGGACGACCGAGAACAGAAATGCTGAGTCCAAATGTGACAGTATTTTACTTCTTAGTCTCATTAAATGTATTCTTCTGAGTAGACAGAGAGACAAGCTGTAAACTTGTGAAGACAAAAGTGTACAAATGGTAAAAATATATACATAAACCAGATTCTGAACCACCAGATTGTGTTGGATCAAACTCAGATTCCTGGTTTGAACTCACCTAACTGAAGAGGCTCCGCCCCCTCCCTCCCATTAAATGTTGTCTGGACTCATCCACTTCCTGTTAGACAGTCTGGCCTTTCAGCTGCACTTGTTAGGATGAATGGGAACACCTGCAGCACACATTTGGGTAACTGCACTTTGATTAATTCATTGATTTGGACTCTAGAATCTCATTAAATGATTGAATGTGTCCAACTGATGAAGACCAGGAAGTTCAGACTTAAGAGCGATGCTTTGGCTCTGCTGCTTTCTGGAAACTTTCTGAGTGTTCGAAAGAAGAGTTCTCTGAAAGCTCCCAGATCCGGACATCATTTGAGTCGAAGGTTTGATCAGAGTTTGTCTGCTGAATGTTCAGCAGAACATGTGGAGGAGAACATGATCACTTTGCTCCAAACTCCACAAAGAGCTTCTCCTTTCTAAAAATATTAGTTACATGTTTGAAGGTTCTTTTCAGAAGTTTTCTTGGGTTCAGGGGGAAAGTTTCAGATGTTTCTGCTCAGAATTTGATTAGCTATTAGATCAGAGAGATGCCTAGTGTGTGTGTGTATTTTTATATACACATACACACACACATAAGTACAGTCCTCAGAGCAAATGTTCCTTTTCACATGTTCTCATTGTTTTCTATGAGTTGATGAAAAAATTTGGATGAAATTGGATTTCAGTGTTTAAAGTTTGAAGAATAATTCAATTCAATTTATTTACATAGTGCCAAGTCATAACATACGTTGTCTCAGGGCACTGTACATAAAAAGAACAATCTAAAGAAGAAACCAGCAGACAGTGTTGAATTACTTCATTAGTCTCCCATCCTGAGCAAACGATGGAGAGGAAAAACTCCCTGCTAATCAGGAAGAAACCTCCAGCAGAACCAGGCTCAGGACAGGCGGCCATCTGCCTCGACCGGCTGGTTGAGGGACAGGAAAGAGACACAGAAGAACTGGTCCAGGTGCACCTACTTCTGAAAGAGAGACAAAAAGAAAAAAAACGTGCTGTTGATAGAAATAATTACGATAAAGACATAGAGCAGAGAGATTAAAGACAACAGCAGAGTGAGGAAATGTGCTCAGTTTGTGCTCCAGCAGTCCAAGTCTACAGCAGCAGAAATGAAGAATAACTCAGGAAACCCAAGTCTAACTATATGATTTATCAAAAAGGAAAGTCTTCAGTCTAATCTTAAAAGTAGACAGAATAGTCTCTTCCTGCACACCCAGACGTTTTGGCACAGCCGTGGTCATTTCTGCTTGAGTCAGTTTGTGATTCTAGAGTCTGGATGATGAGGACTGAAGTCCAGGATGGTACAGATGGTTGGTAAGACTCCAGGTGCTTCTGGAGGCAGGACTTGAACCAGGTTCTCCAACCACTGGTATCTTCAGGTCTGAACTCTTTCCTGCTAAAACCATTCAGTTTACTCCACATTCTGATGTGTTCTCACTACACTTTGAACTTTAGAGATTGTATTATTGTTATTATTATTTTTACTCATGAAATCGATCAGATTTCTAACATCTCCCAGACATGATCAAGTTTCCTATGCATCCTGAACTACTCAACCAGACACATGAAATTTTGATTTGGAAGACTTTTTGACCTTTTATTTTTCTCATTAAATCTTTAAATTTAGCTTGACTAGTTTGTTTAAAATAATAGAAACATTTTTGCCACCATAAACTAACAAGCTGAGTTGTTTGTTCTGCTCATGTTTCAGACTATTTTTTTAATCAATTAGTTTTAAAGTTTCTCATCATTTCAGTTGATGAAAATAACTACTCCCTGACCACAAAAGGCATCTGCGCTGACTCTGGGCCAAATACAGGAGAGCATTTGGCACAGACCTGTTAAATTTTTTTAAAGACCTGAGGACTCCCCACCCCACCCCCAACAGCTCATAACTGACATAAAAACCACTGCATTTGGCCCAGATGTGGTCCAGGTACAAACTTCTTGTTTAATTTTCAGGCAGGTTTGACACAGATTCAGTACAAAATTACAATACAGATTTGCACAACACGTCTAAATATAATACAAATACACACAATGTTTGTTGTTTAACAACTGTTTATTCCTGAGCGAAACCTATTCTGAAATGCTCAAAAGTTAAAGAGGACTAACAGTGAAAACCGAACAGAAGCTCCTAACACTAAATACCATCTGCTGCTGCTGCTTTATGACAGTTTCATTGTCCTTCAGCCAGTTTAAACCAGTCACAGCAAAGGTGATGTATCTCCAGATGCAAGGCTGTCTATGAATGAATGAATGAAACCATTAAACTTACATTACTAAACAAGTCAATAACAGAAAACATACAGTAGAAGCACTTGGAGAGAGTACACCTCCACTAGGGACCTGGGTTATGTTGGGTTATGAGAGTGTGCAGCTGCTGCTCTGTGATTGGTGGAAGAATGTTCTGCTGGCTGCTGATTGATTGTCCCCATATGACCTCATCACTAAAAAGCAACCTCTGGAACCTCCTCTGTTCTCTGTTTTAAGTTCCAGTTTATGTTTTTGCAGCTCTGGCAGATGTTCCCAGATCACCACAAAAATTTGACATGTCCTGAACATTTCATAACTTTTTGAGAAATCGTGTCCACAAAGGTTTGAATAAAGCTCAGGGCCTTTTTAAGGAGAGCATTTATGAGGACCCTGCTCATATGAGTTCTTTATCCATCCCCACTCACCATAAATCCATAAATCATGTTCACAAGCAAACAGACAAACACTAAAACAGAACTTCCTTGATGGACACAATAAAGTGAGTCTGAAACGTTCAACAAACAAAGAAACAAAAGATCAAATTGTCCTAACTTTACCTGAGCTTGGTGGAAATAAAAGCTGCAGGACTGAGTCTAGAGAAGAAAGTCAAAGTTTGGAGCGAAGGACCTTCAGAGCTGATCTGTAAAATCTAAATCTTCCTGAAGAGCAGCTCAGAGTCCAGGTGTTGGGTTCTGAGGAGGTTCTGGTCTCCTGAGGTTCAGCACAGAGTAAAGAAGCCTCAGATCTCAGTCTTCTCAGCTCTGATGCTTCAGGGTCTCCTGAGCCTCTGAAGTGTCTCAGATAAAGGGTTTTACACACAGACTTACAGTCCTTAAACTACTGAGACATCCTGACACCTAATTGTCCAAAAATACATAAGTTTTAAAAAGCAGAAAATACAAATAGATGAGTTAGTGGCACAGCTGGTAAGAAGACTGGTTACTGCTGTAATCTCAGGGTTGCATGTTCAATCCCAGGTACATCACCATCATACTTGTTTTTGATTTAAAAAGTGAACAGAATCAGCTAAAAGTAGGACTTGAACCTCTGATATCCAGATCCTCAACCACTTTCTTATTCCTCTGAGCTACCACTCAATACAAGAAATATAGTTCTCTGTGAACATTTGTCTTGTAAGATTTATAGTTTTGCATGAAAATGACAACTTAGAAAAATTGGAAATGAAGCTGAAGGATGAGCTGCAGAGAAGAGGCTTCATCAGCTGAGGACTGAATGTGGACCTTCAGCTCAGAGGGCTCACCAGGTCTTAGAGGATCTCTCATCCAGTTCTAGAGGACATGAAGCCCTTTAAGTCCACCAGCCTGTTGGAGCTCTCTGACGTCTCGACACTCATCCAACTCCTGCAGGTTTCAGTCAGCTTCAACTCCTTCCTGTTTTCTGCTTCTATCAGCTGAAGCTTTAGAAACATTTGAAGTAAAACTAAATCTTCACAGGAGACAGAAAAACTTGTTTCTTCACCCTTTCGTCACTTTGTGACATAAAAACTTCGATTTCTCCTTAAACATCAAGTTTCCTCTAAATCAGACATTTTTATTCCCCTTTTGTTTGTTTTTTTCAACACGTTCTTCTAAATATTGTAAACCTTCATTTCTAAATATATAAATAAAACATACTTAATAT